GAAGCAGGCTCCAGGCTCTGAGCTGTCAGCACAGAGCCTGACGCAGGGCTCGAACTTGAGAACCGTGAGATCATGACCTGAGCAGAAGTCAGACACTTAACCAACTGAGTGAGCCACCCAGGCGCCCCCTGATTTTGTGAACTTTTGAAAGAGCAGATTGATCCTGAGGAGAATGGGCAGACTACAATGAAATCCACTTTTTCTCTAGGCGACCTCCCTGAGACGAAAGGGTACCCAGTAAGACTTTTCTTTTCTTTTCTTTTTTTTTAATTTTTTTAACTTTTACTTTATTTTTGAGAGAGAGAGAGACAGAGACAAAGTGTGAGTGGGGGAAGGGCAGAGATAGAGGGAGACACAGAATCCAGAGCATAGAGCCCAACGCGGGCCTCAAACCTACGGACTGTGAGATCATGACCTGACCTGAAGTTGGAGCCTTCGCCAACTGAGCCACCCTGGTGCCCCAAGACTTTTCCACTGGAATTGTAACTTTCTTGTTTTTATTGGGTGTATAGGTAGAAGTTGCAGAGATTAATATATATATGTTTTAAAGTTTATTTTGAGAGGGAAAGATAGTATGAGTGGTGGGGGGGGGGGGAGAGAGGGAGAGAGAGAAAGAGAGAAAGAGAGAGAGAGAGAGAGAGAGAGAGAGAGAGAGAGAGAGAGAATCCCAAGCAGGCTCCATGCTCAGTGTGAAGACCAACTCGGGGCTCAATCTCATGACCGTGAGATTGTGACCTAAGCCAGAATCAAGAGTCGGGCACTTAACCAACTGAGCCACCCAGGCACACCGAGATTAATATATTTGAAAGAAAACTTGATTTTCTTTTGAGTTATAAAACAAAAATGAAGACACTGTCAGTGCCTTAGTCTTCTGGGGCTGCCATAACAGAACATCACAGACTGGGTGAGATTTATTTTCTTACAGTTCTGGGGGCTGGAAGTCCAGATCAAAGTTCCAGCAGGGTTCGGTTTCTAGTGACAGCTCTCTTCCCTGTTTGCAGATGGCTGCTTTGTCCTCGAGTGGCCTTTCCTCTGAGGGAGGGGGAGGGGAAGGAGAGGAAGCTCTCTCCTTTTATAAAGCCGCCAGTCCTAGTGGATTAGGACTCCATCCTTATGTCCTCATTTAACCTAATTACCTCCCAAAGGCCTTATTTCCAAATACTGCCACATGGCAGGTTGGGTCTTCAACATATACATCTGGGGGAGAAAATTTAGTCCATAGAAGGTTTTAACATTTGCCTTGGCATTGAGCTCCCCTTACCCTAGGGTGAAAGCCCCAGTGACTATGCCTGGTCCCCCCTTGTGACATAGAGAACTTGGCTCTTCCAGGGTGCACATTTCACTGGCCTCGCCCTCCTCCATGTGTCTGCAACACTTAGGGCTGGTGCCCATGGGAAGTTCCATGGCAAACATACTAACAAAACAAGCACTAGCTTGCCGTGTTTTGTTGTTTTGTTAGTATGTTGGCAAAGCTCTCTTTTGCTGGGTTTAAAAATGCAGTAGATGTTTTGTCATAATGAATGGTATCATTGTTTCTCTGGTGCATTTTAGTGGAAATCACTGTTTTATATTATATATGTTGTTCTGGGGGAAATTCCACTTCTTTTGTTATAAACATTACAGAAGGGCACCTGGGTGGTTCAGTCAGTTAAGCGTCCGACTTCGGCTCAGGTCATGATCTCATGGTCTGTGGGTTCGAGCCCCATCAGGCTCTGTGCTGACAGCTCAGAGCCTGGAGCCTGCTTCGGATTCTGTGTCTCCGTCTGTTTCTACCCCTCCCCCACTCGTGCTCTGTCTTTCTCTCTCTCTCTCTCTCAAAAATAAATAAAAATATTTTTAAAAAACCTTAACGAAACATTACAGAATAGCAATAATATAATTCATCACATTTCTAGAGCACTTTACAGGTTTCAAATTGATCTTATTTACTTAATTTCCTCATTTGGTCCCTGGGGAATAAGCAAGACAAGTACTATTCCCATTTTACAGATGAGGAAATCAAAACTCAGGGGAATTTGTCCACTCACACAGTGAGCTGGGAAATTCTTTTATCTGCAGGTAGTTTTCTTCCTACAATGTCTCATCACCCACACCACCCTCTGCAAATTTCTCCATGCCGCCTACCGCCTCTTATCTCCTGGGTTGTGGACCCCTTTGACACAAGAAAGCATTCTCTCCTAGACTTAGGTTTTGGATTATGATGACCTCAGGCAGCTCAGGAGCAAAGTTCACAAAGATTCCACGGAGGGCTTGTTTTCAGTGTTCCTTGGGGAGGCTGCCTCCGGGTGTCTTGAGATTCAGGGTCACCCCGCTGCTAAGACACAGCACTGCTGAGCTCACGAAGCCCCCCAGGCTTGTTTTGACTGTACATCGATGTCATCTCTGAGCTATGGCTACCGTGCTTTGGGG